CTTACTGGGGTCATTTGACCCCAGTGCTCTTCCTGCCATGGCAGGGGGTCGGACTAGATGATCTGCTCAGGTCCCTTCCGACCCTAGAAACTATGAAACTATGAAACTGATTAATTACACAATTTATTCTGATTTATGCTGGTCTATGAGTTGAAAATCATCTTATCATGCACTTAGTGAATGAGGATTTGCATATAAAATTAAGTAGAGGTTTCAGCTGAATGCATCCAAGCACTGCAGAATGCAATAGTGACCATGAGATACTGACGCTGTCCACTACTAGATAATTTCTTATTTCAATAAAGATGACAGATTGAATTAAGATATAATAAATAAGAAAGTGGGTGGAAATTTAAGGAGCAGGTGTATATGTTCTACCTGTGAGGCCTTATTAGGCTGCAGGAAACTAACTCTGCAGTAGGTTAGTACTTGTAAATGCAAGTACTACACTATGGTGGCATTCTTTAGTGTGCAGCAACGCATGTGTAGACACTGATGTGGCTGGTTGTGGCACAAAAATGCTTCAGTGTCGGGGTTGCCTGCCAGCTAGCTGTGCACTGGAGCCCCATTATACCCCAGCCAAACTATCCACAGCACACTGACCTGGGGTGAAGCAACCCTGGCCTGGTAGGCTGAACCCAGACCCTGTGCCAGCTGAAGCTGCTCCAACCTGGCTCAATATGCTACGTAAACGTGGTGCCTGACAGCAATAAACTCGGGTGTGATATGCTCCAGAATTTATTGCATTGCATTAATTTCATGGGTAGACCACCTACAATGTATTATTTTTAAATACATTACTTCTTTGGTACTGCTTATATGGAACTTATTCTTTATCTTACCCCCATAGAAAATACACCAGATCAGCTTTCACGCCATACTGTCAGGTGTTGCCCTAAACTCCATAAAATACACACACACAAATCCCAACTCAAGCATGTTTGAGCTTTCTACTCTAATTGATTGTACTTAATAAGGGGTATAGGTGCTATTAACATAATCACTGCATATGGATGCAAGCTAAACTATAGAAGGGCCAGTGCTATTCCATGCATTAGGGAATACAAGACCTGATTTCTCCATTTTTCTCACAGGAAATACAAGGGAAATATGATGTCCTCTGTAAGCATATTGCAGCATTTCCTCATTTCCTAAAGTTGCCTGGCAGATATTCCCAGAATTCCCCCTCCTAGAATTCCCATGATGCATTGTGCCAGCATATGGTTATTTCTAAATGTCATTAACATACCCATACTTACCTTGGTTAAGTTTTTAAATGTTTTGAGACTAATAGTATGAATGCCCTGAGTGGCTTGAATGGCCTAATTTTCAGAAGTAGAATTACAAGTAGCTAAAAATCTCATTGAAATCTATTTAATTCTGAAAGAGAGAAGTTAGTGGGGATTTTGCCATTGACATTAATGGCAGCAGGATCAGATCCTGAATTAGAAGAAAAAGAGAGGAAATGTGACTGAATTGGAAGACCCCAGCTCTTTGGGGGCAGGTAACATTTTAGTCAGAATGCTTACCACTTCCCTAAAATAAAATAAGAACCACTACGGTTAGGTAGAGGCACTACATTAGACTGGCATTGGAAAAGCAGTGTATGTTAGTTAATAAGTAATGGGAGTACTGGATTAGGAGCCAAGAATTTAGGACTGCTAATGTAACTTTCACTGGGTGTATCTACACAAGCCACTTTACTGCACAGCTCTGCCGTAAAGAGTCACTGTCTAGAAGTGTGGCTCTATTAGGCCACAGTAAACTAATTAACTCCACTACAGGATAGCATTTCCTGGCACAAGTACTGTTCCACAGTGGAATAGTTATGTGTGGCAAAATGTACATGTAGACAGTGATGGGGCTGGCTAGGGCAAGAAGGTGCTACAATGTGGGTGCTGCCTGCTAGCTAGCCCCAAACTATAGCACCCTCGTGTCCCAGTCAGCCCCTCTGCAGCATGCTGAGTCAGACTGGAACAGCCCCAGCTGGCAGACTGTTCCCCAGAGCCCTCTGGCAGCTGGGGTTGCTCTGCCCTGGCTCACTGTGCTGCAGTCCAAGGTGCATGTGCAAACACTGAATCCAGGAGCAATAAACTGCAGCACAGTTTATTTCTATATGCTAATTGCACATATAGATGTACCCACTGGGACTTTCACAAGGAAGCTAGCTACTTTGGGATTTCTAGGCTAAGTATTCTGATTTAAGATTTTTGGACAGCTTGAAGAACAATTAGAGAGGCAACATTTTAGGGTGCAGACAAACATACCTTTCACCATTTCAAAAAGGGTATGAGGCATTTCCACAAGAACTGGGAGCACACAAACTGTTATGCCTGTATCATGCTATAGCAACACACATTAGCTATATCACAGTAACTTTGCTCTGAATTAAACAGGTTCAAAGGTGAATAGTTTGACCACATTTGTATAGCTACAGGTTCACATAGATACAATATCTGCATTGTAGCAGTTTATATTGATATACTTTGATATTGATAAAATTATTACATTTGTCTATATTCTTACATTTTCTCTCATCTTTCATCTCCATGGGCATCTGTACACACCACAGGGTTTAATCCTTGTTTAAACTCAATAGGTTTATAAAATTTTAACTTGTTTATTTTGGGACGATGCATCAGTGCTTCCATGTACTAGGTTTTCAAACAGATTAAGCATTGGAGTGTCGCACCAGTGTTTGTACACACTTGGTTTTTGAATGAATTAAGCCCAGTCCCCAGCCACAGGGGAACAGGATAATTCAGCACTGCACCCCTGGCCCAGAGCCCCACAACCCATGCTATGCCATGCAGCTGTGGGAGCACGAAGCTGGCACATGCCACAAGAAAGAAGAAAAAAGGCAGAAGCAATTTGAAATAAGAAGCCATTCAAAGGGGTGGATGAGCTACAAAAAAGTCGCATCACCATCTGGTAGACAAAGAGTCTCATTACACAGTGCCTTTGTGGTTGCATACAATGAATCCATGAACATGACACTAATTTGCAGTGAACCAAACTAAACTACACCCGAGGAGTTTTACTTTAATGCACCAGAAAAGCTTTTAAAGCATCTGGAAAACCTACTTGTGCAAACAGTCATGCTGTTGCAGCCCAAGAAAGGGCAAAAATTGTGGCATGTACAAAGGCCCCACCTTACTAAAAAAAATAGTACTTTTTACATTCCTTTTTCCAGTTTAGCTTGTGGCTGTAAAGTATGTCTGAATTTCACATCCAAGAACTTAGTGCACTGTTAACTTCATGTATTACATATCATTTTGGCATAGACCACCTATTACACGTTCTGGGCCATGTGGATGGCTTTATGTCTTTCTCAGTGATCCTGCTGATAATACATCTAATGAGTCTTATACAATGCTTAATCATTCAGAAGAAGAATAGGACGGTTGCTGGGGGTGTTTGAACAGGAAAGATTGATTTAATAGAAAGGTTAGCAATTCTGTTTTGATGTAAGCTTATATGTAGTGAAAGGTTGTTGCTGCTGTAGGGAAAAAATGGAGAATGACTCATCTTGAATGTTGTGTATTGAACTGGGGTTCAATACACAACATGAAAAAGGGTAAGAGAGACAAAAAAGATTTTGCTGTTAGTAGCTCTGGTTTTATACAGTTATAACCGAGTGCAGTGCCTTTTAATGAATAGTATTTTCAAAAAGGATTAGGTAAGTTACAAGCTATGCCCACAGATATTTAATGGAATTTGGGCTCTTGAGCCAGTTGGGACTTTTGGAAAATTCCAGTCAGTGACTTATTTAGATTACTCCACGAATATCAGGCAATACCTCCAGGTGGTAAAGACAACCTATATAAAAAAACAACAAAGCAAGTTGGTTGCTA